TTGTTGAATCAATGCCACGTAGAATTAAGGCAGTTCTGAAGGCGAAAGGGGGTCAAACACCGTATTAGTATGGTGTTCCTAATAATCCTTTAGGTGAGTGTATATTCACACACACACACAAATATACATACATATATATATATATATATATATATATATATATACATACACACACACATACATGTACACGTGTTTGTGTGTGCGTGTAGTGACAATGTATTCATATTAATAGTAAAGAATCCGGCACGACTTCAACTTTTAAGCTTATGCTTAGTGCCAGCCTACCTCTACAAAATTCTGACGTTAAATATGGACCCACAAGTTGTATTTCATTGTCTTTCACTTTGCCCCTGGTTGGAGTAACTTACTGTGCACAAATCATTCATATACACGCATACTGAAAACAATTAACTGCATATAAAATTTATATTCTAGTGTATATCTAGTGTATAGTTAAAGTAAATTATATGATACGTCCTAATAGCTATTTAATGGTTGCATATTAACATCAGAGATAATAATGAATGTAATACTTAACTAGTGCCAATATTTTTCAATGATTATTTCCACTGAACAGTCAGCATTCATATATCTAATGCAAATTTAGATCAAATGTGTAAAACATTTGTAAAAAAAAATTAAAATACTTAAACTAGTACACTATGAAAGTTAAATATTTTATTCAGCAGTTGTGCAAGCTTATGTCCATCTACATTAAGGCCATTGATAAAAAATAATCCAATCAAATTTTAAAATAAAACAAAAATTACATGAGCAGCTGAAGAAACCCAGAAGAAAAAGCAATATCACAAATGCTCAGGTTAACTGTTTGCTGTATTTTGAGTGTCAGTGAGCCAGTGAGGGATTCACTGACCGTTTGGTGCATTTAAAAAAAAAATATATATGGCCTTAATCACATTTGGAACATCCTCCAAAAAGTGACACTTCATTGTATGTATAGCATTAAATGGACACTTTATGTCCAAAGTTACAAACTACAGCTTGATGAACAATGAAAAAAGTTGTTTTTCCCCTTTTCATCCAAATACCCAAGATTCAAACTACTTTTAAAAATCTGTCTCACAAGCTAAAGATATATTTGAAAGCTCAATCACTCAAAAGGGACAAAAACCAAGATCTAAAGTATGTGCATTCATATAATCAAATCCAAAAAGAAAATTGTATTTCAAAACAAAAAGTGAGAATCCAGTTTCTTAACCACTTTTACACACTTAAGCACTGCCTGTGGTTGCTTTTACAAAGTCCATGGAAATCAGTTTCAGTTGCAGACTCTCTACTCAGTCTCTCCGCATCACATTAAACAGCTCCTTCAGGGTTTCCTGCCCTTCTTGCGCAGTGATTGTCCTTCTCCAGAAAAAGCAATAAAACGACTCATGGTATCGTCCTGCAAGCAAAGAGGAAACACTGTGTACATCCATCTATGCTTCATAGTATCTGAACCAACACAGGGCAGAAGTGAGCTTGGACCTCAACCAGTAAACATGTGGAATGGGATAACCTGGGTAGGATGCTAGGCCATCACAAGAAGCACAATTGCACTATGAGCAATTCAGAGAAATAAAGACACCTTATCCTGTCTTTCGGGGCTATCGGAGGAAACTCACAATAACACTGAGAACATGCAAACTCCCTCACAGAGCCTGGGTAGAGTTTAAAGTAAAGATAAATTTATCATGCATTCAGTTAGTTTTCCTTAACTCTTACCTCATCCACCTTCTTGGGCTGAGGGCGCGAGTTTCTGATAAATGTAATCCTCCCAACCTTATAGTCATAGTTTGGGATCCCTCTGCAAAGGATATATGATGGTCATGTGGTCATCAGGATGCAGAACTAGGATGCACAAGTAACTCGATCACCTCCTTACCTTTTGATATCGCTCGGATCAATGGGGGCAGGGCTGGGCTCAATGCCCTTCTTTTTGCCATCAAGGCGGTTTCCTGAGCCCGAGAAAGCCTAAAAATAAAGCAAAGGAAAGTGAATTTCTGACATGGTGCACTTTAGAACACAGGGGAGAGAATACATTTAGAACTTAATTACAAACTCAAGAATATAGCAGAAAATAGACCAAGGCATTGGGACTCCCTATCTAA